ATGCTTGGAAATTATATTTCATATGGAAATACTGGAACAGCTAGATCTGAGAATTTCCTTGGGAATAAGGAGGAGCCTACAGTGAAAACAGCTGTTTCTCTTAAAGTAATGGGATTTTTAAAACTATGCCCAAATACTACCTCGACACAAAAATATTTTAAATCATTTTTTAGAAGTATTATAACATTTAGAAAATTTTCAAAAATAGATACAGCTTAAAAACTAACCATACCTCCTGTAAATTCTGGTCTTCTTGAGTCCAAGAATTTAAAACGTGTGCTCCAGAGTCACTCACAATGAAATTCACCTAAGAAATGTCAAAGGGACAATTAATATTCAACTGAAACTTTACTTAATCACCACCATATTTTACAATGAAATGAAATTTCTAACACTGGTTTGCAGTTTGATGCATTGATTTTACAGCCGTAGAATGCCTAGTATACCTCAGGTGCTAGTCTAAGAGTGGCACTGGCGATAGGGGGATGGCAGTGAGAATCAAACAGTCCTGTCACAAGGTGCAGGACGTCTAGGGCGGGCATGTGATAAAACAGAGGGCAGCGTAGGAAGAATACAAATAAATGCGTTGATTCATTGTAGAGTAATAAACACTACAAAAATAGCTGGTTTTAGACTGAGCAGTCATAGATGGTTTTCTCCATAAAAGATGCACTGAAGGACTCCAAAGTGACCAAGGGAAACCAGCCCTGAAAAAAGCAGGGACAGAGAGCTCCAGGCACACCAAAAGGAGATGCAAAGGATACACCGAGTGTATATCTCCTCAAGAGGGTGAAAATCAGAACAAGCAGACATAGGAGTCAAGTTGAAAGAGCACCGAAAGACAGAGAACACTGAAAACCAAGTGACGGATATGGACTGTATTCTCATTTTTAAAGTAAAGTCCAAATAAAAAAATACCAGCAGGGCTGGGAAACAGTTGGTACAGTGCTTGCCCAGCATGTGAGACGCACTGGGTTTGATCCCCACGCCACAAAAAATAAATAAAAAATAAACTCCAGTACCAGGTAAGATGGCAATGAGGGTAAGAAATGTATTAGAAAGTACATCAAATGATGATGGTGACTGTGGTCCTTTTTAAGAAGAGAAGTAAATTTCTTTCCTTCTCCTGAACAATATAATCTAATCTATGATCATTTTTCCTAATTCTCATGAAATACTAGTTTTCTTTCCTCAAGGGAAAAAACAGAACTGATCTAGCCTATCTTGGCTTATCTAAAAGGGATACACTTTACTAGCCACTTTATTTAGATTATCTCATTTAAATCTTACAACAAGGAAGTAATTATAAGTTTACATGGGAAGATAAGGAGGCCTGGAACTTAAGAAATACAATTGGCTGTACAGTGAGTAGAAGGCCAGCCTGAACTACATCGCTAGACCCAGTCTCAGGGAAAAGGGGAAAAAAAAAAAAAAAAAAAAAAAAGACAGGGAATACAAAGGAGGTCACACTGCTGGCAGCTAAAGATGCCAAGATCTGGAAAGAGTGGCTTGCATTTTCATTAAATTGTTAGATGATTTAAATGATTTTTTTTTTTTTTTTTTGAGACAGGGTCACAATGGAATGCAGGCTGGTCTTGAACTCAGAGCAATTCTCCTGCCTTGGTCACCTAAATGTTGAAATAACAGCCATGTGCCAGTACACTTGGCTTAGATGCCAACATCTGAAATGAAGCCTATGCCTCAAATCACTGTATTATTCTTCCCTCTCTTTTCCCTTACTTTCCCCATACTTAGAAATTTCAAAAGGTAGTTATACTCTGGTTTCTCTTCAGACCTCATAAATCTTTTGCCTTATACTTAATTTGGAATGTCGCTGAACATATAATATTGGATTCTTGGTTCACCTTTGCTCTTACTGCCTGCTCTATCTTTTCCATCTAAGAACTGGCAAGGTCCCAGCCTAGGCAAACAAGACAGAAGCATGTCACCCAGTGGGGCTAATCCAATGACTTTCAAAAAGCAAATTATTTGGGATACTGAAACCTGGAGATAACTTAACACTTGGAATTTCTACCAATCACCAATTTCTCTTCTTGCCTTTAAAAAACAACTCTTGCTTAGCATTTTTTTTCTTCTTTTTTTGGTGCTGGGGATTGCACTCAGAACCTTATGCACACAAAGCTGCCACTGCTGAATTACACCCAGCCATGACTATGGAACTCAGTGTAGGTCCCCCCTCCCAGTTTCTGCATCAACAACAAGGCAGTAATAATCAAGACTGAGACTCAGGTAGTGCACACTGCCGCAAGTCAACCAATTGCTTTATAACCAACATTTGTTCTGCTGGGACTGCCGACAATTTCCAATGGTTACTCTCTGTTCCCTATCAGTTGTTTACACTTTTGAGTGTTGCCCCAAAACCTACAGTGTCTACCACCTTGCAGGACAGTTTTAGGAATTAGAAAGGCTAGTAATATAAAGCACTGTGGAATATGCCTTGCACATGAAAATGGTAAACAATTATTACTGCTCCCAATTAAATATCCATTACATGTTAATACCAAAGGGTAATTCTAAAATGGGCAAGGGAGACAATGGCTGTAATCCAGCTTGGGTCACTTGAGAGGCTGAGGCAGGAGGACAGCTGTGAATTCTCAGCCTGGAATACATCAAACCCTGTCTCAGAACAAGACAGAGAAACAAGCAACACACCAAAGGATCCATGTACATTTTTAAGTAAATAAAGATTTCTAGCGCTGGGCATTTAGTTCAGTGCATAAGTGCCTACCTGGCAAGTACAAGGTCGTGAGTTCGATCCCCAGTACCAAAAAGATTTCTAACCTAAATTTTTTTCCTAATACTGGAGATTGAAGCCAGGGCTTTTGCATTGAGCTCCATCCCTAGCCCTTTTTATTACTTTTTTGAGACAGGGTCTTGTGTGGATTGCCCAGGCTGAACTCAAACTTGCAGTCTCCAGCCTCAGCCTCCTAGACTGCTTCCAGGGATTAAAGGTGTGTACCACCACGCCCAGTTCTAAACTAAATTTATACCAAATTCAAATAAAATTATGTATGCAGTTAAGTAAATCGCCAAACATCATAATTTCGTTTGTGATCCATACTCACCAGCTTTTTGAAAGGGAATATATCATACATTATTCTACAATATTCCATGGAAGACTCTACTGAACAAGTCCATAGTGATTTAGAGATGGGGGCCAAAGGGATGATGCCTTGGGTCCGATTCTTCACCAGCATATCAAACTCAACATGCTGTCTGCACGATTCTGCCATGTAAGGGCAGTGATCCACAACAAACACCGTTTTATGCGATTCAGAAAAAATCTTCATTTTCTTTTAACCTATATGAAGAAAAATACACTAGTCAAATGTTGATACATAATCTTTGCTATCTTAAATTTTTAATGTGTCTTTTCCTCTTGAATTGGAGAACACGAACACTTTCAAAGCAAAAATATGTCCCACATATGACAAAGTTTACTGGAGTCATGATCAGAAAGCAGATGTGTCAAGGCACGAGCTTCCACTTTATCGGACACATGCAAAATTACAGGGTTTTGTGTGTGATTTTTTTGGCTTTTTGAAGGAATCTTAAATTGTAAAAAAAAAAAAAAAAAAAAAAAAAAACCCACACTCTTTTTAAACATATATTTGTACTTGCTTTCCTTACATATATCAAACATAATAAATGCCATAGTCTTTATATACTTTTAATGATCCTAGCTAACTGACATCAATTACATATAAACCTCCAAGCCAGCATTTTGGGACTCCCCCACTACCCCATAAAAAGGGAAAGAGAACGTTTCAAGACTTATGAAAAATGCAGTTAAGATGAGGGGAAGGGAAATTAATAGGAAGAGGAACAGCAAAGTAAAAGCCAAAACACAACATCTCTAAGATCATTACACATCGGGTCTTAGCGTTAGAATAAAGACCCTAAACTCACATTCTTCCCCCTTAGCTTTTGAAACACCATATAATTTACCGCGTAGAACAGAAAAACTTTGTCACTCTCTTCACGCTGGGGAGGAGGAGAAAGTTTTAAAACTTTTTCTTGTAAAAACAGAGCATATGGTACTCCCTTGCTTCACTAATAAAATCGTATCCTAAATAGACAAATCCACATTCGAGAAGCACATGGTAAGCAGAACAAGTGTTCATCAAAAACGAACTGTCTTCCCATGATCCCGCGATTTTCTTCTGCTCTCAAATGCATGTCTCCTTCATGCAAAACTCTCTTTAGGAAACCTTCTAGACACACTTTGCTGGAGGATGGGGGTGGAAAGTACAAGGTGAGTAGATAGGGAGGTCCTCAAGATCGAGGTTCGCTTACTTTCGTGCCTGGTCCTGCAGTGAAAACGAAGAGGCTGTGAAGCACAGCCTCTCTGGTAAAGGCTCCTGCCTGGGTGGGTGGGGAGTCAGCGCACAGTTAGGCGCGTCTGGTACCAAAGACTGGAGACTAAGCTTTCCCCACTCATCTCCCCGTACACCGGTCCTTCCCAGGCTTCCTAAATGCAGGAGCGCGTGCGTGCGCGTGCATACACACAGTCGCGCACCCGGGCTCGCGCGTGCGCAAAGCTGTCTTCAGCAGGGCCGCCGAGCGTCCCTTTCCCCTCGAAGGGCCGCGGCCCCACTCGCCGAACAGGAAGAGGGCGGAGCCAAGGTGAAAACAAATTCCTCCACTTGAGATGTTCTACTCGCTAGTTTTCCCAATCGCCCATTGGGAAGAACAATCGAGTGACTTGAAAGTCTCCCCCAAAGCCGAGGATCACCCACACAAGCAGCGGCGGGCCAAAGACCCCCTTGGCGTAAGGCCCACCCACCCACCTCCCTTTCTCGGCCTCTCCACCCACGCCGGTTTCCCCTGGAAAATTACGCGAGACTTCGCGAGAGGCTGAGCAAAAAAGCCTGGCACTAGATACACAAGGAGGGCCGGCGGAGAGACCCGCCCCTCGCGAGAGGAAGTCTCGCGAGGCTGAAGCGCTCCGGGAGCGCGCGTCGGAGGCGGTCAGCGGAGGTTTCCCCCCGGGCGGGCCTGGGGCAGAGCCCCTCCGGTTCCTCGTTAGCCTCTCCGCGCTTTGTGGCCCGGCTCTGCGTCTCCTCGCTGGAGCAGCGGAACAAGGGCGCAGAGTCTCTTCCGTTGGGTGCACAGGTCCCGTTTGGCGGAGGCAGCTGACGGCTGCGAGGCACTGCTCCGAGCGGAGTGAGTGAGAGGAATCCGAGGACTGAGCGGCCGTGGGCGGGTCTGCAGCCTCCTTCGCCCGCGCCTCCCCGGTGCGGTGCGCTCCGGGGAGCCGGACCTCCCTTCCCGCGTTCAGCGCGAGCTCTGCTGTCCGGAACCGAGGCGCAGGGTCTCGTGAGCAGCCTGCCCCTGTGGACACACCTTCCGTGTCTGTGTTCTGCCTGCCTTACTCACCCGAGACCTCACCGTGAAGGGTGGGCGAGGAGAGACCCTCTTCAGTCTTCACTGTACCCTTTGGCAGCATTTGACACAGAGAGCCATTCCGTCTTTCTTCAAACTGCCTTCCAAAAGGTATATCTTTTTCCTTCTCTGATGACTTCAATATCTGACATACGCAAACTAGGAGCCTAGAAATAATCCTCGGCTCTGTATTTCCGTTCACATTGTATTAAGTTCATCTTTCTCCAAAACTGTTGCGACTGCCCTAATTCCACCCCAAATTTGTTTTCCCACCGTCATCGTTTACAGAGTTTGCATTCTGAAATACTTGTTTTTATCTCGCCTCAAACTTTTTCAGTGTTACTGACAGAATCAAGTTCAGATCGTTAAGCATATCAAGTCGTTTCGAACTGCTGTCTGTCTCAATCATATTTTACTTTTTTAGTGTTATCTTTAATTTCCCAAAAACTTTAATACCCACCCATACCAGACTACTGATTTTCCCCAGACATACCCTCCATTTCCACAAGTCTGTACTTTGTAGGTGGCGGTATGCACCTGTCCAGAGTATTTCCTTCTCTTGTTTTGTCGTCTGTGAAAACCCAGTGTATAGGTGATTATCTTCTCAGACTCCTACCACCACCAGTCATATTACAGCTGTGCCCAAAGCACCTGAGATAGTTCTACAGTATTTATTAGGATGTATTACTTGCTATTATGTCTCTTCTGCCAGCTTAAACTTGAGTCTAGAATCATGATTCATCAGTAGTCCAATGCTTGGTGTATAGCAAACATTTATTTTTATTTTTGTATACATGTAGAAAAACTACCACAGGAGTTTTTAGTCCCTTAAAACCATAGACTTTTAGAGCCGGAAGGAGCCCTATATATTAGCTTAAAGTCCTCTCCTCTGTTTTGACTATGAGCGACCCTGCACTCCTAACTCATATGCAATTAATTTTACTTTTGTTATTTGAGATTATATGTAATAACAAAAAAAAATCCCTCTAAATGATTTTGCATTTTAGGCTACAGACAATGCTTGCTGTATGTGAACTTTTCAGACTCGCTGGCCGTAGGTTAGATTCAGTATTTGAACATACGTATATGCAGCTTATATTTAGCCTTTTTTTATGTGCTCCAGCGTAAACTAGTTGCTTCTCTGCGATCCCAGCACGAAGGGAGGCTGAGGTAGGAACATCTCAAATTCCAGTCCCACCTGGGCAACCCAGACCCTTTCTCCATATAGAACGGGCTGGGGATGTAGCTCTGTTGTAGAGCATTCTAGGGTTCTCAGTCCTCAATACCAAAAAATTAATGAAATCCTCCAGCATCCTTCCCAGATCAGTTGCTTCCAACTTTAAGAATTCATCTTCTTTAGAAAGCTGCTCCGTAAAGCTCTAAATGTTTTAATTCCACCCTTTTTAAGAACAGTGAAAGAAAACTGAAAAATTTGTGTTTTTAAATAGTGGTATGTCTGTATAAGATACTTATTTTTATGTGCAATTTGTGTTCTTTCTTGATTAATTAAGGTTATAAATTTCTCTGAAAGACATATCTGTGCCTTTTATTTTTCTATTTTCAGGTGCCAGATAATATTGTCTACTAGTATAGCCTGAACAATACAATTTTTTAAATGAAACTAGATTGTTGACAACTATAAACACATATATGGTGTGTTAGTAGTTACAGTATCTTTGTGTGGGTCCAGCTAGCCACAGGATAGCTAATTTGTAGATAAAGAAAACCCATGGTTCAAGAGACTTGAATTTCTTTAAAATTTTCTTAACCAAAATCTAAAACTAAACAGCTGGTATTTGCTGTCTTGGGTGGGTGGTGGTTTCTTTTTTATCAGTAGCACAATGTTCCCTGCCATCTGTCAGGAGTCTGACAAAGTGGGCGAGAGTCACTTGGGATGGGAGGGGGAAAAAAATACAAACTTTGTTTTAAAAAAGTCTCCCGTAATTCGGACATACCTAGAGAAGATTATGTAAGTATTGTGACCAGTTAGGACAAGCACTATAAAAATAGGAAGATAGATTGAAAATAGAGGTATTCCTTTTTTTAAAACTAGAATGTGTTTTTAAGAATTTGTAACATACCAGGGAGATTGGAAAACTACATCCTCACTCCAGTTACTACCCAAAAAACGATGGGAAGCACTTTTCAAAACCGATGGCAAAGTAAATTCATAATATATTTTAAACTTTTTGTGTGTGGTTTCACATACAGGAAATGAACATGCAAATGCTTAGAAACTCTTTTTCCAAAAACATCACTGGTTTTCTAAAATGTTAATAAAATTATGTTTCGAATTATTTGCTGTTATAATTCCTTCCCCTGAATAGATGTCTTCATAGTTACAAAATAAATTTTAAATTTGGTAGTAGTGGTTTTTTATGCAGCCTAGAGAATGTTTTCTAAAGCAATTGTTTACAACTTTTTTAAAAAAACCTAAGAGTAAACATCCATTGCTTAATTAACAGATGCCTTGTTAAAAATAGTTGCGAGTTTTTAATTAGTTATATAAAAAAATACTTGAAATGTTGTTACCTTGAAAATTTCCTCCATGTACGTTTCCATTTGTTTCTTGGGGCTGGTTTGAAATGGAAAATTTTTTAATATCTTGGAAGTACCATTCTGATGTAGGGTCAGGGAAATTGCTTTGTTTTTCCATCTAGAGAGGTCAAGACCATTTTCCTGTAGGTGAAAGCAAATAGGACTCTGGAGATCAAGCTTGGCTCAAGAATAAAATGCTCAACTGGAGATGAGAAGTTCTATTTCTGGTATTAGCTTGGCTCTGTCATAGCTTGGCTCCTTTTATTTGGATTCCCTGAATCTATTTTCTCACTCATGAAAAGCGAACAGCACTTGTTCTGGTGCCTAAATGAAAATGTAAGAGAACTACCACTGATTTGACTTAATTAAAATTATTACCTAGCAGATTGTTTGTCATTCTAGACTACTGTAGAGGGCTATTTGGATTCAGTTAGGTTGGAAAGAAGGCTAAAAATAGGTCAAACAATTTTGGAAAAAAATGGCGACTTGAAATACCACATAGCAACAGTTTATTTTACAACTATTAAAATTGCAGGGGGGGGTCAATGAAGAGATAGGCAAAGAGTTATTTTAACAGGATTATGATGGATCTTATCAGTTTTAGTTGCATTTCCTTAATGGCTAATGATGTTGAACATCTTTTCACGCGCTTATTTCCCATCCATATATCTGTTAAGGTCTTTAGCTCATTTTAAAACACAAATTATTGTTAGTTTTGAGAGATTCTTTTATTTTAGATACAGCTAATATAATTTGAAAACGTTTTATTCCTCTCTTTAAGCTTGTCTTTTTAGACATCTTTGCCGTATTCATTCCTGTGCAAGTTTGTGATGTTGATGAAGTCCAGTTCATCGAATTTTTCTTTTATTGGTCACAATTTCAATATCATGTCTTAAAAAAAAATCTTTGTCTTACTCCAGGTTATAGACATTGTCCTCTGTTGTTTTTCTTACAGGAGTGTTATATTTTCTAATTTTATATTTAGATCTATGATGCATTTTCAGTTAATCTTTGTATAAAATGGGCAAATATTAGTTTTCTGGCATATAGGTGCTTAGTTCTTCCAACGCCAGTTGTTTGCAAAATCTGACATCTCTCCTCTGACTTACCTTGCAACCTTTTCAAAAATCATTGGCTGTATTTCTGTGGTCCCGTTTCAGGGTTTCTGCTGTCATCACAACTATCTTCACTACTGTAGCTTTAAATCTTAAAATTCGGTACTGTGATACTCAACTTTATTTCAAAACTTTTATTTTTAAAATTGTCTTGTTTATTCCAGTTTCTTTGGGTTTCCACAGAAATTTTACAATAACCTTGTGTATGTCTGCAAAAGTTCTGCTGGGTTTTGATTGGAAAGTGCATTAATCTGTTAAGTAGATCAGTTGTAGAAAACTGACATCTCTATTGTGTTGAATCTCCCAGGTTTTGAACATAATGTTTCTACATTATTGAGGGTGCTTTAGTTTCTTTAATTAGCATTTTGTAGTTATTAGCATACACGTCGTATTTGTATTTTGTTTCACTTCAAGAAGTTTTTTGTTTTTTTAAAAGTTGTTACAAATGTGTTGCTTTGGGGGGTTTTGTTTTCTAGTTTTTTATTGCTGTTTTACAGAAACCAGTCGATTTTTGTGCTTGTATCTTACAGAACTGCTAAAATCATATACTAGCTGTAAAATTTTTTTTACAAATTCTAATCTATATTCTTTCTTTCTTTGTTACACTAGTATATTGAATAGGATTGGTGACCAGGACATCCTTTACTTGTTCTAATTTTAGTGAGAAAGTATTCATTCTTTCATCATTAAGTGTGGCATTTGCTATAGGTTTTTTGTAACTGCCCTTTCTCAGTTTGAGGAATTCCCCTTCCATTCTAGCTTTCCAGAAAGTTTTTATGAAAAAATGTTGAATTTTTCATAACAGACCAGTTGTTAGGATCAAGTGTTTGCTTTGGACTACAGTGATAGGGGAGGCAGACATGTATTCTGGGGAAAACCCCACTTGATCATGCTGTATTTTTTTAGTATGACTATATTGGAGTTGCTAATATTGTCTTGAGAATTTTTGCATTTATACTCATGAAAGACAGTGGTCTATGATTTGTTTTTCCTGTGGTTTTGGTATCACAGTAATGCTGTTATCATTTTATAAGTTTGAAAGTACCACATTCCCTTCTCTTAAATAAATTGTGTGATACTGATTTTATTTCTTTAAAATATCCTTTAGAATTTATCTTTGAAACCATCCAAGTGTGGAGACTTTTTGTAGGATATTTTAAACTACAAACTCAATTTCTTAAATAATTACAAGGCCTACAATAGTTAAATGGGACTTTAATAGTTAAATAACTCCTATATAGTTAATATTTATGTTTATTAGTAGTATCAATTCTGATGTGACTTTACATAATTTTTGGATTTTGAGCAATTAATCCACTTAATTTAAGGTACTCATTTCATGTGTGTGGATTTTCTTTTTTTTTTTTTTTTTTTTTTGCATTCTCTTATGCCTTGAATGAATTAGGGTTCTGCAGTGTTATCCTTTTATTCCTGACACTCGTAATTTAAGTCTTTTTC